AAAAAAAAAAGTACTCACAAGGACTGAGAGGAAATGAAGGACTTGTTGTTTGAGGCTGTGCTCCTTCTGATGTCAGCATCTAAATGGAAACCAGAGATGACTGGAGTGGGCATGGAAAGGGAGGCGGTAAGGAAGGGATAATAAAAGCATTACAAGGTATCTTGTAAGCTAAGCACTCGGGGCAGCAGTGAGGTGTGATACTCTACGCAAGATAAGGAAAAGGTGAACCACTAAGCACAACTTATAATTTAGCTTTATTCAAGTCAAAACCAGAATGAATTAGTGACATTATGCACAGCACTGAAAAGGTCAAAGTGTTACAAATCTGGGTGGAAACAGTGAGGGAATCATCCTAAGCACACAAGGACACAACCTCTAGCAAGCAGAAACATGACATGAATGATTCAAATTTCTCCCTCATTCTCTAAATCTCAAGCTTTTTTAAATGGCAAGCTCACAGAGACAATAACTCCACATCTGGCTCTTTATATATATATATATATATATACATATATAAATATATATATACATACATATAACAATTAGTGTCTAACACATAACTTGTGTCATAGAGGTTATTCATTAAATGTATGTGGAAGCTGGATGCTGTGGCATAGGTCTGTAGTCCCAGCTACTCAGGACACTGAGGCAGAAAGATTCTCTGAGCCCAGGAGTATGAGGCTGTAGTACACTGACTGCACATGTGAATAGACACTGCACTTCAGTCTAGGTAACACAGAGAGACCCACCTCTCTAAGGAGATTTCTAAAACTAATGTGCTTGAACCTCCAGAGACCTCATCTACCAAACATGTTTGATGGAGGGGAATGTGAAATACAGTAGTCATATTCGAGAAGGGAAGATAGAACCGAACCAAGTCACGAAAACAAGACTGCTCTGATAAATACCATTTCTTACTTCCTGCAAGGCCCAGTGAAAAGACCTTTAATTAAGCCCACACAATGATCAATCTACTGTGTCTGAATACTCATTAGAGCTTGTATGACATTACTCTGCCCTTGACCATGAGCAGCTCCATTGTTCCTCAAATGTTTCCCTTGCACATAGATTTTTTTGTATGTACAGCTAGATTACAAAATCTCCCTGTGAAAAAATAAGATTGTCTTTAATTCTTCTTTTGACTCCAAAATACTTAGCACAAGCTCTGTATACAAGTATATACTCAAATAATATTGTTGATAAACTAATGTCTTCAAAGCTATATACATGGGTAAGATAACTGGATTGAAATCTGTTTTCATATGCTCTCTAAGCACAGAAAACCAAGACAATACATTTTTGCTGGCAATTAACAAAGCCTATTTTAACAACAAAAATGTTCATGTATGTCATATTTTCTATTTGAACTTACACCACCAAAATCCAGATCCCAATGCACTGCTGTCTATTTATATCTAATTAGTGCTAGTAAAGAAAAAAAATGTAAACTAGAAAAAAAGTAGACTAGACTGTCATAGACCATCTGATTTGCAACATGTATTTAGATAACACTCATACACTGCCTTGGATTTATATCCTAGCACTTCTCACAGTGCTTTGTACCTAAATCTTAGTTAGATATATCTGAATAAAGAGCTAACCAATTTTGTTACTTTAGTACCAGGCTATTAAAGAAAACAGTATACACTAGAGAGAATAGGTAGGTGATAGTTCATGGCTGCTAAGGAACCTCTGTCTGCATAAGATTATTTAGAAGTTCTTCATTCTCACAGAGAGGAAATCTTTTTTTCTTTGAGAGAAAAATAAAGTCATTCTCTTCTCTTTAGAAAATACAATAAAGTCATATTTTTCATGTTTCCTTTTTTTTTTTTT